TCCAAATGAGCTGAAATCCTCTTTCCAAGTGGTGATGCTGGAGAAAGGCATGCTGGAAGCGTAGGCGAAGCGTCCTGACCCAACAAGGAAGGAAACACCGAAACGACGTCGAAAACCTCACGTAGCCCAGAATCCACCGTTTGCGAACGAGTCACTGAAAGAGGCGCGAAGCCGTTGCATTCACGGCCGAAATGCCACTTTTACTACAGAAGTAAATAAGTACATAAGCAATAACGGTAATGCTGCTGTTGTAAGACAGACATGGGCTTAGGGGAAGAGAAAGACTTGTCCACTTTTATATTTTAAAAAACACATGGTAGATCTCCTGGCCCAAATACAGTTCAAAGGATCCTGGGAATTTTCGAGTCTGAAAAAAGGAAAAGTGTCCTATGGCCAAAGACAAGGGAGGGGCGAGCTTCGCTCTATCCCTTCGCCGCCTCAGCTTACTGGTTCCCTATGGTCCGCTCATGCTCTCCATGTTTCTGATTGCACCTTTTCTCTAATAGCGCTGTTTTGGAAAGGAGTGACAAGCCCCCCCCCCAAAAAAAACCCTGACCCCGGCACATTTGTTCTTTCTGCTACTGCCACTTTCCAGATGGGTATCAAAGAAGCCACCCGAAGGACAGGTGCGGAAGGGGCACAGGCACTGTTTCCTAGTCTTGCCTGTCGGTAGAAGGGCGCTGGAGCAGAGCAGAAACGCTTCCTGAAGAAGGGCCCTATTGCATCCAATAAGAGCTTCTTGGAATAATTGCACACAAATAATTGTTGTGCAGCCTGCGCACGAAGCAAGCTCTACAGGACTGCGCCCAGAACTGCAATTAGTCGACGTTGTTATTTTTCAATAGGAAATCTTCAGATCATCCCCCCGCCCCAGTTCTCAGATTGGGTTAAGGTTCACCCTTCTATCGTGGTGCGTGTGTGTGTGTGTGGGGGGGGGGTAGTGCTGGTGCAGATTTAAAATGCTGGTGTGGGTACGTTTGCTTAAGACCCTCCCAGTTAAAATTCTCCTCCCTGGTGCGGGGAGAGGGGGCAAAGCTACATCTGAAAAGGCGCCCACGAACAATAGGAGCGTGTCTGCATCTCTGCGCCCTGCGCCGTTGAACTGTGCCTCCGTGTGAGTGTGCGTGTACGGGGAGGGGGACGCTTCGGTCTCAAGAGTCTGGGCGCCTCCACCCACTGCCCCCTTCGAGCCCTCCCTGTTTTTTCTCTCGCTTGTCTTGAGAACCAGCGGCGGCTCTCAGGAAGCGCGCCGGATGTTTGCTGCGTTTCATGTGGCATTTGTGGCCGCCTCTGATAACGCTGCCGAGAGAGCCACATCCCCTCCCCCCACCACGCCTGGAAAAGAAAAGAAAAGAAAAGAAAAGAAAAGAAAAGAAAAGAAAAGAAAAGAAAAGGACACACAGACGTCGCCTGCTCAGGGTTCTTGCTTCTCCCCCCCCCCAACCCATCCCATCCGGGCCACTTGAAAAGCGGGCTTCGGTGTGAAAAGGCCAAGGCCACCGGCCACTTCGAACTGAAGGCGCTCCGGGAAGGGCGGCGAAGGGGAGGAGCGTAACCTGCTAGTGCTACCTCGATGCTCCAGCTGATAAAGTTTTTTTGAGTTACAAGACGAACGTGTGAACACTATCTCACTGATCCCAATTAAGCACCCCAGTCTGGCCGGGGAGCTCCTTCTATAGACAAGGCGAGCTCCTTTTGAGGCAAGGCCCAGAGGATTTAGGGGAGGGGAACGAAGGGGGTACATGGCCCGTTCTTTAGCTAGAATAGACAAAGTAGAGTATGGTCTAACCATATTTGGTTAGGTCGTTCTTGCACATACTTACATGTACTGATCGGTGATGCGATGGACTGAATACAAGAAAGCAGGAAAGGCAAGGCGCCAAAACTGGCGTGGACGTTAACGCCCACATCATGGTCTCTGTCAATTAATTCTCATCGCTTATGTCAGTAAAAAAAACAAAAACCCGGGGTTGTCAAGAAACTTTCGATGTTTCTGATTTCGCATTTACACGAGACATCTAGCCTGGAATCAATGGGTTCAGTCCCGGGGCATCCGCGGCGCGGCGGGGCTGTCAAAAAAGTCAACATGGTGGCTACGGGCGTACAATCGAAGCCCCGCCTTTTTCCCCCCAACTTGCGTCACAAGCGTGATCCACGTAAAAGGAAAAAAAGAGACGGAGTTTCGATTGTACTGTCCACGGCTGCCATCTTGACTTTTTTGACTCCCACTTCCTGCGGATACCTCACGGGTCCAGGCACATTGCTCTGAATGGAAGTAATTGAGATTCTCTCCAATAAAAGCTCAACTCTCACGCTAGTTTATTCGAGATTCAGAGCATTCAAACGTTAGAAGCAAACCACCTCCTTGATTTTATGGGGCCGAATTGACTGCGGCTCCTGCCAAGACGCCGGTCCGTTGCTCCCGCTTGCTTAAGAGATCTTGTCCGAATCGCAAAGCTGTCTTCCTTTTCTCTCTCTAAGAGCAACGAAATGCAAACGCCGCATTCTCCTGCTGCCCTAGGCTGCTGCTTAGAATAAAATACAGGTGCAAAGCCGCACAAAGGTACGCGCTTGGCAAGGTGAAGATCACCGGTTTCGCCATCAGAGCTGGGGAGGGGGAGATCAGGGGATCCTCTCTGATGCCAGGCGAACTCCGACTAAAGCCCCTTTCCCAGAAACCGCCACAAACCGGCGAATACAAAAGTCTCGACGTTCCGCGAGGGCCGCGAATCCGCCACGGGGGTTGCCCGGTGCGAGGCTCACCTGCCGTCTTCCTTCTGCGCACTACAGGAGGAGGGGGGGGAAGCAACTAGATCGGCTTCCCGCGGTTATTGAAGAAGCTCGGGGGCAGCTGGCCGCCTCCCCTTCACCCCATAACCTAATCAAACGCGCTGGCTTCGCTGACCTTGCGAAGCCGCTAACAACCATGAACCAAACTTAGCGTGCTGCACGAAAGCATCTGCGTGGTCTTCATCAGAAGAGATAAGGGTGCTGTGAGAACGCAGCCCTTGAAGGGTACATGGGGCAACCCGAACGACGGGACATTCTGGACCAAGCCTTTTCTATGGGAAGTTATGATTTGGGGCTGAGACCTCGCAATTCGGCGCGCTCGCTTGTGTCAGACTGGTGCGGCCAAGCCGTTTCCTCCGCAGCTGTTGCTGTTGGACTCACAGCTACTTTCAAAGACGGCACTCCGTGCTCTGCGCTTCCCTGAGGCAGCAGCGCAGGCTTTCTCGTAATTGTAGCGTTCCGACGAGGAAAGACCCCAAGGAACCTTCCTAGTACTGACGGCCGAAGGGAGAAGCAAAGGAAGGGAGGCTCAGGGGCGGGGCGGGGCAAGTCTTCGTTTTCAGAATCTTCATTTCACCTTTACGGTTCGGGGGAAAAACTTGAAGCCAAGGAAAAATCTAACCGTTCAGAAAGAGAAGATCTCAGCTTCAATCTATTTGCACAGGAATTCAGTTTGATCCACACATTAAAGTGACATTTTGCAAAATAAAATATAAGGGTTTTTCAGATCCATAGCTTTTAGTTCAACCCCTTTGAGGATCCTCGCGGATGGTCTGCTAAACTAACGCGCTTCACACGGAAACAAATGTGAATTTGGGGTTAGGATTAGGTTTACAAGCTCCCCGTGGCCCACAAAGATTATAATAATATTCTCTAGGAACCCAATTTACATTAAGGAGGCAGAATCAAATGCCGTCAACCAATTCTGAAGCTGTTTGGTGGAAGCTACCTGTCCAAAGATATTCGCACAACCCCCTCAAGCCCCAAAGCGCAATCCGATGAATGTTTACTTGTGAATAAATCGCACCCTGGCGCTGCCAATTAAGTGTGTTAGAACGGCAACCTCCAGTTGCTAGCTGAAAGGCGTCTAGACGAATCTACTTCCCAGCAAATGCCGTTATGATATAAATCAAAGTTGTAATATCATAACATAATTCAGACATTGTGTGCAGATAAGTAGTACATGGGGCTCACAGTATGACATTTTAATAGCACTTCCTACCAATGTAAAAGGCACAGCTGAAGCTGAAATCGTTTGAAAGAACATAGAATCTGTATCAGTTACTTCCGGTTACCTAAAGTATTTTCACTTTTTTTCGACGCCGGTTTTACTATATCCGGACAAGGTTAAGTCAGTGCCAACAGCTTGCTCAGGGTGTATTAAAAGTATATGCACGTCGTTACCTAAAACCCCTTTCGCTTTGTGTGTTAAGGCATATTGTGAAAACGTGTCCCACACCATCTTGCCCGTTTAGACTTGCTTCAACGGAGAACGACTTCCTGTGCAGGAATAATCAGAATTAACGCAATTAAAGGAGCAAACACATTAAATCAAGACATTTACAAATGGAAGTATTACCATTAGCAAATATTTACAGTAATAGCCATATTTATCATATAAGGATATTCCAGAATGTGAATATGCACACTAACGAGATACAAATTATTAAATGTGACCGCAATATTTATAAAGAAAGTGATATTTAAAAAGTAATTGGTCCACTCCATAAGCCAGTTCTTAAAATAGTACTGCTTATATGGTGTTTGTTAGGACATATCCTGTCTAGGAAACGCGGTCCAACAGACAGGAAATGGTCGAAAGAGGTCGAAAGTGCTTAATCTTCCCTCCGTGCACGTAGAAGCAAACTACCTAAGACAAACAAACATATTTTCATGGATAAACCTTTCATTTCCCCCTTTCTTTTGTCAGCTTTAATAACTCATTTTCGAGTCTCTCACTTACTTGAAAGTAGATCCCATTGATCTCAATGGAATTTACTTCCACGTAGCCTCAGGTCATGGAAAAATCCACTCCTCGCTGAAAAAGGTTATTTCTGGCTGGCTCCCATACAGGTGAATTGCAGATAAAACTGGTCCTCTCCTCGCCCGCTCAGACTCTCTCTGGCCCCACCCACACCGTCCGATTGGCTATGGCTCAGTTTAAACGGAGCCGCGCGGTGACAGCCGCCAGCTACTCAAGGACTGTCGGAGCTCTCGGCTTGCATCAGAGGCGCTTCCAAGCTTTATTTGCATGCGAACTGCGAGGTGCAAGAACTACTATCCCGCTCTATACCCGCCTTCTGGAGGCACCGAAAGGGGGCCCGACTCTGGCCGGGCCGGTGAAGCTCTGTGGAAATGAGCAGCCCCGATGCTGGATACGCCAGTAGCGACGACCAGGCGCAAGGACGGTGCTCCCTCCCTCCCCTCATGATGCAGTGTCAGTGGGCCGAGTCGCTAAGCCCCTTAGCCGATGGCAAAGGCAAAGGCGAGACAGCGGCCGATCAAGTCCAGCAGGGAGCCTCGGGTCGGGCCAAAGGCGAGACCCGCATTCGCCGCCCCATGAACGCTTTCATGGTCTGGGCTAAGGACGAGCGCAAGCGGTTAGCGCAGCAGAATCCGGATCTGCACAACGCGGAGCTCAGCAAGATGCTGGGTAAGTCCAATAGGCATCGGTGGGACTGGAGTTCGCTGGGAGAGGGTGGCTTAGAAATGTCGCGTAGTTTTACTCTTCTCTGTCATCCAAAGGCCGCTACCGCGCGCCACGGAATAAGCCGTGTTGTCTTTGGAAACGAGTCTACGAGAGCTCCGTAACTTAACCAAAGCAGCGGGGTCGTGACCCAATAGACTCGTTTGTGATTTTTACTATAAGCAGAACGCTGCGCAATGCCACGCGAGTTCGGGGAAGCCGAATCCCAATCCACGACGATTCCGCTGGCAAGGTTTTAGAAAAACCTTTCGTCTTGTGGACACTGGCTCGCTCTCCCGATAGGTAGGCGGCCAAAATCCTTTCCAGCCCTTTCACACCTCCGCCAAAGATAGAAAATTCATTGCACCGCATATCGCCCGTTACGTTTAATGGATAGAAGGGACGGGTCATTCGGAAGAAGTGTAACGGGACGAATGAAAGAAATCTAACTGGTGGCACCCGACCATAGCTGATCATTGCTATTCTAGTGGCGCAGTGACAATCGGGTGACTCTAGAAAAGTTGCTTAGTTACTGGTGGGGTCCTGCCATGAAATGAAATGTAATTCACAGAAGTTTCCATAATAATGCCTTGCAATGCTCTTCTTGGAGGTCATGGTTTTCACAAACTGTGGCCGCAGCTGGGCTGTGTTTTTAACACGCTGCGGGACTACTGATAGAGGACATAATTATGCACGGGTGATCACTTTCTGGGTAGAGAAGGCCACAGTTTTAAACACTAGGTATCAATTTCAAAGCCGTGCCATAAACCAGCTACTTCCCTGAGGAAAGCTGGGTCTGCGTCGAGAGCGACTCGGCGCGAAAACCAGCGGCGCTCCCAATGGGCTAGGTTCCTCTCCGCCGCGCCCGGGAGCGCAGCCCGCACCTTGGCCACCAGTTCCCGCTCACTCGAGTAATTCCGACTTCTCCTCGCCTTGACAGGACAGTCGTGGCGGGCGCTGACTCAGGAGGAGAAGCGCCCCTTCGTAGAAGAGGCGGAGCGGCTCCGGCTGCAGCACATGCGGGACCACCCCCACTACAAGTATCGGCCGCGGCGCAGGAAGCAGGTCAAGCGCCTGAAACGCAACGACGGCGCGGTGGACAGCGGGAGCGGCTTCCTCCCCGTTCAGCATCACCAGCTGGGCCTGCCCGGAGAGGCGGGGAACGGAGGCGGCTGCGAGGGGCTCGGCCTGCCTTACGCAGAACAACCGAATTACACCAGCGGGAGCTTCCATTACCGGGACTGCGCGCCGCTCCCGCTGCCGGCCTTGGGCGCCCATTTCGGGAACTACAGCCTGCCTACCCCGGAGCCCGAGTCCCAGGGTGGCGCTTGCGCAGAACCCGTCTT